TGTCCATACCATGGCAGTGTCTGGCAGTTAATATATGAAATAAAAATAAATAAATAAATCACCCTTTGATTTTTTGTGCCAACAACAGAGCAACAGGGACAGCAGGAGAATCAGTGACATACCACTAACCAGCCCCGTGATTAGAGAGACAGAAAGTGAAGATCTGGATCCTGCAATGATAAAGAATAAAAATTAGCTTAATCTATAATGATATAACCCAATCAATGGGATACATCATGGGCAAAGGACACTTTGAACCTGACAGGCATTTTCTGGCGTGTCTGAAGACGTCTGTAAATGTTTTGTTAAATCAGAAAGTCATCTCTTAAAACTGTGGAGATGGAAAATATTGTGAATGGTTACATAGTAACGACTGGGATGTTAAACAATCAACACTCTATAAAAATGGCTAAAAAGACAAAATATAAAATACAGTTTTAGTTCAAAATAAGGGTTTGCATACTTTACGTGGGCAGGACCATTTTAACCTTCTTTTAACCTTTTAATCTTCTTCATTTTCACACTTCGATTTTGTAGACTGTCTGGCCGGCTGGTTTTATTTGATGATCCTTTTGTTTAAATCTTTTGAAACAGAGACAACAGGGTATTTCTTCTCTGTCTACAACTCTATCATTCACACTTACCTTTTACTGACATCCAACTTTCTGGTGACTCATGCCCTGAATAGTCACACTTGTAGAAGCCTTCATCAGACTTTGACACTGCGGGAATATTTAGCTTTTCTCGGTCATCATTTTGAATTAGTTTCCCATTTTTGTAGAATGCAACAGTGGAATTGAAGTTTCCTGTCCTCAACTTGCAGCCAAGAGCAACAGAGTCCCCTTCATTGACTGGATGGACAGGGCTCAACAGGATCACATCAGTATCTGTAAAAGCCATTAAAATATGAGAGAACTTACCAACATACGGTCTACTGTTTCCATCCTTGTTTGGTAAATGAAGACAGTGGCACCAACAGCTCTAATCCTGTTCTTTGTTATGTTTTTATTAGTATTATTTTTCCTCACACTTTTAACCACAGCATGATCATTTAAGCTATAGCTGGATTTCAGATGCATTTTTGGCTACATCGTCTCATAATTATGAATACTGTTATGACACAAAGCTATTACCACACCTATAATCATGGGCTCACATTTCTGCTTCATCCTCTGCAGTGTTGGATTTATTTAAATAAATGGCAAATAAATAAATAACTCAGAAATGAGCACAATGTGTGCAATGGCTGTACTGTGAATTTAAATCCTGTTGGTGCCACTTAATGGAAAACTAAACTCTTGGTATCGTCATAATTATGTGGAAAATATATTTCAAACATGTAGATATTGAACCATATAATGAAACATGTCAAACATTGTATAAATACATGTTCTATTCTGCTGTATACACATTGTAATAACATGACTTGCAGCAAGGATAGATTTTTTCCCCCTAATGCAATATAAAACAATGTGGTACATACAGTATTCTGTTGATTGTTTGCACTTCTATGTTGCAGATTAGTCAGTGTTTCAAGGTTACTGTGCCATTCAGAAATACAGGCTACAGGTCTAACATTCAAAGAAGAGGCCATGTGGGAACATCATTCAGTGTCTTGTGTTGGCCAAAACTCATTTGAATGAAACCAAGATAACACAGAAAATTGTTTTCTTGTTTAGATTAATACAAATTTGAAATTCTTTTTGAAATACACAAATGCCACATCCACTGGACTAAAGAAAAGAAGGACCATCCACGCGGTTATTAGGGCTCAGTTCTAAAATTTGGATCTCTGATGGTTTAAGGTGCTTTAGTGACTATGGAATATGAGTTTTGTGGCTTGTCTGAAAAGGCACTATTAATGTTGAAAAGTATTTAGAGATTTTAGAGCAAAATATGCTCTGATCAAAATGACTTTTTTTCATGAAAGGCCTTGCATATTTGAAGAGTACAGAAGCTGAACTGGGCTGCCTGGAGTCCCAGTCTTTCACCATTTGAAAACAATTTGTGTATCACAAAATGAAAAACATGACAAAGAAGACCCAGGATTGTTGAGCAGATATAAGCCTCTATCAGAAAACTATGGGATAATATTGCTTTCCCAAAGGTCCAGCAGCTGTTTTCTACAGTCCCCAGATGTTTATAGACTGTTGTTAAAAGAAGTGGGGATGCTACACAGTGGTAAATGTGGCCCTGTCCCTTTTTTGTGATGCGTTGCTGCCACCACATTCAAAATGACTTATTTCTTGCAATTATACAGTTTCTCATTTTAAAAGCTTAAACATAGATACTGTTTTCTTTCTTAATTTATATTTTACACAGCATCCAAACTCTTTAGAATTAGGGATGTAAAGACCTACAAGATGCAGTGATGTTGATTCCATTGCTGAACTGTCCTGATTCAGACTCACACCAGGACACAGTATCTTGGAACCAGCGAAGATTGCACGTGGATTCAGTCATTATCCCCAAGTCTCCACATTTTCTCAGGTATCCGTGCTGAGTAAATGTCATCACTCTCCACTGAGAAGAGTTTCCGGAACAATTCAGAGTTACTGAATCATAAATGAAGTGCTGCACTCTGTTAGGACTGACTGTGAGAGAGGCTGCTGAATTTAAATCTAGAGGAAAAACAAGAACTGTCATTTTTTTCTTGATAGCTTAATAGATTGAAGACTGTGAATGCAATAGTAACACTTATTTTTTTTCCTTTTTAAATTAGGAGCAAAAATACTGACCTGCAGACCAGACAAACTTTGGTTGACTGTGATCAGTGTGATACTCTGGGTCTCCTCTTCCAGCTCTGCACACATATCCTGCTGTGTGTGTCTGTCCATGAATGATGTAGGAGTCCTGTGCAGTCCCACTGATGCTTCCAGGTAATAATTCATACTTGTAGAGGCGATTAATTCTATTATGATGTCTCCAGTGTCTGTGTCTGGAGTAATAGTCATAGGGGTAATAGTGGTAGGGGTGATACATGCCTGACTCCTGTTTAATAACTTTATACCAGTAGAAGCTCCATCCTGCAGACGGATGTTCAACATCACAGTTCAGAGTTACTGAGGCTCCAGGACTCAGCCATGATGGAGACACAGTGAGGACAGGATGACGTTCTGTTGGGAAATTATATTTTCAGAGTGAGATCAAGAACAAGAAGCTTAAGGGCAGATTATCTGTTAATAAATGCAAGCATACAATTCACATTACATTTACAATTCACTCACCATAAACTATCTTTAGGTCAAAGGATGCACTCCACATTGTTGAATTCTGTTGTGCACTTCTCATTCTGCCCTTACACCAGTAGTGCCCATGGTGTGATGTAAAAACAGAGTTAATCTTGTATTCATTTTGGTTTGGAGGTTGATGTGAGCTGCTTGTTGCCCACTCATAATCCCACTCAGTGTCTTCTCCTGGGATCTCACATTTCAAAGTGATTGTCTCTCCGCTGTATACCTCAGGCCAGTTTGGATGCAGAGTCACAGCAGGCCTGTTTCTAACTGTTAAACAGATAAAAATAAATAAATAATAAATAAATAACTAATTAAATTACTTTTTAACATCTTCCATTAATTAAATAAAGGGAAATTCACCATGACTCACCAGTTTTTTTAATACTGATCACATCACTGTAGTCTGTGTAGTAAAATGGGTTGCCTCGTCCTCCTCTGCACCAATAGTCTCCTTCCTGTGATACACCGATTTGTCCATCAGAGTGGAGAACAACTTCTGCCATCGTCAGTGGTTCTGAGGTTTTCTTGCCTCTGTACCAGTAGTAACTCCAACCAGTAGTAGATGGTGTCACAGAGCAGGTCAGGGTGACTGTATCACCTTCTGGAAAGACTCTGTTGTCAGCACTGATGCTGGCCTTTGGTCTGTTTCCTGTTTAATTTAGAAAAAAAGAAATGTATTATAAAATTACAGTGAAACAATTACTGCC